GCCAGCAGAAGGTTTCAAGTCATCCAGCAGCACCTCCAAGAAATACTCTGCTGATGAGCTTGACAATCGAAGTGACTTTTCAGATGCCTGGGAATCAGTTCAGCGACTTGATATCTCGAGTGATGGTGGTGATAGAAGACCGCATCGCCGTCAGCATGCCGGGGAATGGTATAGCGACGATGAAGTGTTTTCATCCCACCGGAGCTCCCATAAGTCGAGATATTCGCCTCCGGCAGCCGACGAATCCGTCAGAAAAGAATCCCAAGACACCAAGACGAGCCGCAGATCAAGGAAAGATGATACCATGGAGCCGGCTCCCCGCCAACGAGGGTCGAGCCGTCGTCGAAAACCGATGGCAACGGAAGAAATGTATAGCTACATCTCTGAGACCAGTTCTGGCAAGGGGAAAAACTCCTCTCGCTCAGAGAGACGCCGTAGCAACAGCTCGTTGCCTCGCTTAGAACGAGCCAACCTCGAATCATGCGCCAATAAATATCAAGATACAACCGACGAGCACTTCTCCGAACCAATGCCGAAGCTACCGGCCACCACAACTGCTCCACCATACGATGGGGCTCTCACTCAACAGCAAGCCTTCGCTCCCGTCACCTTTGTCCCCAGTGGTCAAGACTACAATCCTGAGGGTTGGGAGTACATATCCCCTGCTCCTTGCTATGAGTGTACCGGGCACGACGCTGGCTGGTCTACAACTCCTTACCTACCTGCAGTAGACATGCCGCTGCAGCCTCCATACCTGGGATACCAGGACAATACAATGTCAAATGCACCAGCTCTAAGCTCAACTCTTGCTGGACAAGAGATCCCGAGCCGCGGTGCCGTCAAACCACATAGGCAAGTCTCACCACGACGTCGTTGCGAGGAGACTCCAGCATTGGCGCCTTGCCCAAGATCAATTGCCATGGCTGATTACAACGATTGGTCTACCATAGTGGGCTTGACACATATGAACATTTGCCCATCCTGTACCCAACAGATTAAGAAGACTCGTTTCGATAAACTTGTCATTCCTGCGCCGCCTCAGCCTCTCGGGCTACCAGTTCGATGCTCCATGAGCCAACCATGGGCGCGATTAGCATGGGTTCAGACAATGAAGCTGGGTTTAAATCACCTTGAACTGCTGTACCAGCTAACTCGGCCTTCATCAATCTACAAGGGTTGCCCTGGCCGCACTCCTTCCACCCAAACATGGTACCGAGTCATTGATCCGGACACCGGCAGGCTCATGCCCAACTTCAATGCATGTGCATCCTGCTTCCGCAACGTCAGGATCCTCATGCCTTCGCTGCGTGATTCGTTCCAGCCAAGTTCGACTTCACAGGAACGAACTTGCGACCTTCGCTGCGGCAGTACTCGCTTCATCCAATACCTCGACCTCCTCGATGTTGCAGCTACCCGCCATCGACATGACCCAGGCCATAAGCCCGATCTACGAGACTTTATCCGATACGCTAAACGTAAGAACCGCATCTACGACTGTCCCCGTGATCACCTCATCGTTGGCCCCTGGCATGGTATTGACGAATTGCCTGAATTTACTGTCTGCGAGGACTGCTACGATGACGTTGTCTGGCCGTTCGGGAACAGCCCCGTAGCTTCCCTGGTGTCCCCAACCGTCCAAATGACTCCAGACAGAGCGGGTCCAGCCTCCCGCCAGGCATCGTGCCAGCTATACAGCCCACGAATGAGAATGATGTTCCGTGAAGCCGTCAGGCGTTCGGACTTTGGCTATCTGAGGGCAGCAGTTTTGGCTCGATACCAGGCCGAGAACGCTTTCCGTGAGAACAAGCGACTACTTATGGAAGACGTTTCATTAGGTTATGATCGTGATGCTGAACTGAGGAAAAATGCGGCTGAATGGAGACGATGGGAATGAGTTCATGATAGTTTTGATTTTACATGTTCCGGCGCACTTCTCTTGTCATTTCGTTCAATTCCTTATTTTCTATTTTTTTTTTTCTATTCCCCTTCTATATCTATCTTCGATGCATTTTAGGAGTTTTTCACTTTAGTTCTTTCATTTACGGTGCTACGGATAGATGTTCAACCCAGTTGTACTAGGAATTGTCGTATTTTGTATTTTTCTCGTTTCATTTGGGCGTTTATTTGTACGATGAGAGGATTTACGATACAGTGTAGAGAAGAGACGGAATACTATAAGAATTAATCTCGCAAGAGAGAATGAAGCCTCATCTGTGTTCAATTAATCAAATATCTAGACTCTGGTATATCATCATATCACGCTTCATAGAATGATACTGGTTTATCCAACCAATCCGAGAATTTCTCCAGGCCATTTATCTCCCCATATTATGGCTCTCGCGGGTACTCTCCCAGCTACTGGAGATAATAGCCGAAGCTTCCCTTTCTTCGAATCTACACCGGCAACGTAGAGGAACCCCATAATGCTAGCATCCCGAATTTCATTCAAAGGCGCATTTGGAGGAGCATGAGTGATTGCCAACAATGTATTTTCCAGCGCTTGTGGAACAGGGTAATCAGGTGTAGCAACCAGCTTCTTAAGGGGTATCTGTTGGGAAGGGAGGCCTGTTGATGACGGACCAGGACCTAAACCGGCAGCCGACGCAGGCGCGTCGTCCTCTCCATCCTCATTGCTGCCACCTGGAAGAAATGAGAACTCGCTTGTAGAATTCGTTATAAGCTTCATGCCATCGTATTCGTCACTGTTAATAGTGATACTGTAGATAGATAGATTGTCGAAGTCAACATGTTGACCGTGAGGGGAGAGAGATATGACTGAGCCAGGAGCAGTAGATGAAAGAGCTGAAGATGCAGTTGATGGAGCGGATGTTCCAAAGAAATATGATCGAACTTGAGATTCACGAGTAGATTTCATAAACGATTCATCACGGTCAACGCAGCCCCCCGATTTGGAGAGTTTGACTACCGATATCTTCTCATCTGATACGGGCATTGTAGATGTTGTAGAAATCGGCTTCCCGTCATAGCTCTTAACCATCGTACTATAAAGACGTTCCGACCCAAGAACGAGAATCGTCGAAACTAAAAGAAGGTGAGTTTTTATCATTGTATATACTCGGGGAAGGAAACATACTCGAGAATTCTGTAACTATATGGTTGATGACATCTTCACCGCCACCTTTCCCTTGGCTGATTTCTCCGGGGGTATCAACAATGATTCCAGCCTCCTTTGCTTCCTCATCTTCAGCTAGTCGGCCCGCTACTGTCAGAGCGAGTCTTGAGACAATAGACTTGTAAAGTTCCTCCCCACCACTCAGAGGGCTCTGTAAGCCATAAAAATACACCAGAGGCAGTTTAACTGGTATGGGCGTTGGCCCGGACAACGGACTACTTCCCCATCCTTGCTCAACGTCAATAAGCGTCCGGAAAGCTGTTGCTGTCAATGTACCGGGCATACTCAACATCCCCTCTGACGGGTCAAGGTTGACCACAAATGGCTGACGTCCCATCTTAGTTGCGTAGCCCGTTAATATCTTTGCTAGGCTCGTTTTCCCAGCATCCTCCGGCCCTAGAATTAGAACACGGGGCCCGCCTCGACCGTTGGCCTTTGCCTCATCTCGTAGGGTTTCTAGTGCGAAGTGTACGTTCGCATAGTCTACCATTGGCGTTTCTTCGGCGGTATATTCCACTTGACATCCCCCACTGCCTGACCCGGCGGGTACAGGGGCACTCCCAATGACCCCTATAGCAACTGGATCTCCTTCTGTTACTTCCAATGTACATCCATGCCAGGTGTATATGGCAGCTTTAGTTCCTGAAAAGGTATACGTTTGCGACGGAGCTAGTTCTGTTCCAAACAGCTCTGCAGTGCCTGATAGAAGCTACACTCCACGCTCAAGACACCGGTATTAGTAATAAGGCTTGTAAATCAGCATTAGGGCGCCATACCTTGACTCTAACTGAGTTTCCATACGCAACTTCAAATCTCCATTCTGAGCCTTGAGAAAGGGTATGCTGTACCGGTGCTGCAGGAGCTCTCTGGGCTTCGACGGTGGGCTGCGAGAGCTCCAAGCCTGGTAGTGACATGATCCTGGGCTTTTTACAGCATATATAGTGAGGTGTGAGAACTTACCCGGCCTGATGGGCGGGCAGAGGAAGCGTAGCGTATTGACGGAGGGTACTTTGTAGTTGAAATGCGGCGCAAATCGCTGTTTGACTTGGAGATCAAGTGTTTTAAAAAGACGAAAAACTGCCAAGCTTTCCTCTTATCGATAAGCTCGACAATAAACATTTGGAGGCAAAAAGAAACGCAGATCACTAGGATTCGACGACGATATGAAAGATTAAGGATGGAGGAAATAACTCAATATTAAGACTGTGATTCACCGTTAATTTGAACTAGTACTGATTTGCCATTATAGGTGATTTAATGTATTTACACAAAAGAAAGGAGACAAGGAAAACAGCCACGGCACAGCCAGTCCCTCCATCAGAAACCGTGGGCATGTAGATAGGAGGCCATTTTGAACCGTTGGATAAACACCGGCTTCCAAAGCAATGAGCGCAAGTCTACATGCTAGAGCTAACACTGAGGCCGAGGGAGACATATGCAATGACCAAGAAAAAGAAAAGGAAGTAACATGCCGAAACCATGGACAAATAGCCTCCATATTTGTGTGTTTCCTTCTTTGGCGACAAGGAGGTCGTGATATTGTGCCTTGGTGGGATTTTTAGCTCTGTCAGTGAGCTAGACGTCCACATGGTCGGGGCAGACGTGTTATAGAGTATTAGTAGGGGTTGAAGCCGGTGAGTCTTAAATAATAGGAGGGCAGGGCTCATGGAGAGAAGGGGTACATGCTATGCACACCTTTTGACGCCGAAAACTCCAATATTGTGCTAAGCAGAGTTTTGAGAGGGAGGGGATTGGATTAGCGGGTTATATTATAGGATTGATTTTATATGGCTGGTGGAAGTAAGGACGCAGCGTGTAATAGTGTTATCTAGGGATGAAGGGGCTAGGAAGGGTGAAGGGGGATAGAGCTTCGTTTGAAAAAGACCGGTTGAGGCCTGATTCTGAGAGATAGCCGGCGTAATAGCGAGTGAATTAGGTACGTACTCAAGTGAGGGAGCTTGGGCTGGAAAGGGAAACGCGAGGCTGTACAGGGGGTAGCGGCGTGTATTCGGGCAAACGGGTGTGGAAACGTGCATGAGGAATACTCAGGAGGGGATGTAAAGGGAGACATGGTGAGCAAAGGGGGGATAGGCAGTAGCAAATACAGTAAAAGAAGAATGAAAAATAACAGCTGGAAAAGATAACTATCAAGTGCAACACAGTGCCAATTCCAATCTGACTGGAGAGGGATGAAAGAAAAGAACAAAGATGAAGGAAAGAAAAGGGAGGATCGACAACCTCCATCAGTGACCAAGATAGCACTGATGATCAAATATAAAAATATCAAATCAACTAAAAGAAATAAGGTATCGCGGCACTGAGAGATGTTAGCAAGTGTAGGTCTAATGGGTATAAGGGAATATTGGACTTACGCCATGGCAAGAGTGGCAGTAACACCGAATAGAGCACGGTTCCGTACTCTCTCGTTTCTGAGCTTGTCTTCAAGTATCTTAGCCCTCTTCAAGGCATGAGGATCTTCAGCCTCCTCCTCATCCTCTTCCACCACTATCTCCTCAGCCTTTCGTTTCCGAGAAATTTTCTTGGGAGTAGGAGATCCAGCCTGTTCTTCGGTCTCCTCATTCTGCTCCTGGAGCTTGGTAGCCTCTTCTACCATTTCCTTGGCTGTTTCCAGCATCTTCTCCGTGTTCTCTGGCATAGGCAGATCGGCGATGCCGGCGGGCATCTGAACAGTGACATTGGTAATGGCACTCTCCGAGTCTCCCACAGCATCCACTTTCGACTCGATTTCAACAGTAACGCGTTCCTTGGGTCTCTTGACAAGGGTGGTTTCCTCTTCCGCGTCTTCGTCATGGCCATTGGCCTCGGGAGCCTCTTTTTCCTCCTCATCACGTTTCCTGGGAGCGGGGGAAGCAGCAGCAGCGTCTAGACTGGTTTGGAGAGAACTGCTGGCATTGGCATTGGACTCCTTCTGCGCCCTTCGCGACTTGCGTGGAATGGCAATCTTCCGGCCTGAAGCGGACTTGGATGGTGAAGCTGACCGTCTACCTCTACCACGGGTGGTAGTCTCTTCAGGTGGGGAGAGGAGCGGTGCGTCAAGCGGCGGCAAGTCGAACTTGGGAGGTTCCGGGATCGCCTCTGCATCCGGTGATGAACTGTCTCCGCGTTCTAGAATGTCTGTGGGATCCAGGAGAGCGCGAACCCAAGTCACGATGCCATATTCTCTTGCTAGTTCAAGAGCTAAAGGCAAAATGTTAGTTTTGCGAAATTGACGGGCGCTCAAAAGGGTGGGAAATGGCCGCTACACACCTAGTTCTGGCGAAATCCATACGTTTCCTGCGATCTCGTCTTCGCTGGTTTCGGGACGCGTCCGGAGATACTCGCGCTCATCTGCCTCCTCCGAGTGTTTAGCCCATGGGAAGGCGATCTTGAACATTCCCGACGCGCTTATATGGCCATCACGACTCCGTCGCTATATATCAATTAGTACGCTGCCCGGCATGTGCGGTCTAAAACAACGCGCAGGGATCAAGTCTCTCTCTCTCTCTCTCTCTTACCATGAGAAAATAGGAGTCAATGTGGTGCTGCTTGGGCGGGAAGATCTCCGAGCCCTTCAGATCAGCCGGAAGCGGCGCTCTGAGGTGTGCATACTCGAATGGCCCCAGGTTCGAGGGCATGGTCGCATTCGAGGAGCCGATTTTTGCCGGGGCGACAGCGAGGTTTGTCCTGCCCAGGCGGCGGCGCGCAACGAGTTCCTCATCTACAGACAGATTAGAGACGATACGCCTTCACAGGCACACTTCTTAACGTACATTCCGGGCAATTACTGCCTTGGAGCTGTGGGTTGCGGCGCGCGGGAAGTGGTCGCATCTTGGACGGGGCGTGATCGAGTAGTCGCCGTCGAGGTTGACAAGTATGCTTCAAGGGTGGGAATGCGCCCTCAACACTATCTCTCTACCTCTGGTCGGCGCGACACAAAACGACGGAGCGGCAAGACCTAGGCCAGCAGGCGAAGCGACGGCGAGACGGAGGAAGAGGCTGTTCTGATGTGCAAAAAAAGGTGAAGCCGGAGTCGAGGTTGAAGTCGAGGAAGAAGAAATGCGCGTTTCTCTCGCTCGCCGGAAACGCCAAAAGAGGAAAAAAAGGGAAAAGTTCGGGGGGGGAAGTGGCTTAGTCAGCGATTTACTCTTTAATTTCTTTTTCTTTTCTTTTTTTTTTTTCTATTCTTCGTTTGGGCAGCAAAAAGACGAGGAAGACGCAGCAGAGCAGGAAGACGCTGACAGGGCAGCCTGTTTCTGCGCCGGGAGGAGAGAGCGTTGGGCAGGCAGCTTTGCGGAGTGCATGCAGCATACAGCAGGAGGGAAGGGATTGCACCGCACGATTGGAGATGGTTGCTAGTTATATTGAAGCTATATAGATATACACACACGCAGCACAGCACATCGCTGCATGGCTGACATGAGAGGAGCAGAGTGAGTGGTCAGGCTTGGTCCAGCTAGACAGGAGGCAGGGTATACTCTTCCCCAATCTCGTGCTTCCCGTCGAATTCTAGGAACTGGATCTTGTCCAGCACTTCATCGACGTCTTCCAGGGTTCGGATCTACACAGCTTGTCAGCAGCCGTCTAAGAGAACGAACGAGGAGAAGCAAGACCTACGTTAACGGCGATGTTCTCTCGCAGGTGGGGTGTGTCTCCATGCTCCAGCTGGATCATGACTGGCGTACCGCAGTTCCCGCAGAATTTATGCGGCCGAGACATGGTGGCACATCGATACTCGGACATCGAGTCCATGCTGCCGTGGGTAAAGACGACGTCCTCGATCCTTGGGTAGATGAGCAAGTAGCCATGCTTGATGCAGCTCGAACAGTTGCAGCGGACGGCCTTGCCCTTCTCCAAGGGCGCGATGTTGTTGATAATGAACCGGATGTTGCCGCAGTGACAGTTGCCCTTGTATGTCGTCCGCTCGTCGGTTGATGGGGCCATGGCCTTGTTGAAATCCTCCGCAGTGAATGGCATTGTCTATGCTATCCGCCGGCCGTTAGCCTTGTTGTTATCTTGACAGTGCCAGCTGGTGGTGGTCTGTCGGTCTATACAAGCCAGACGAATCGAGGTATTTATATGTCAACCACAGTCTACGAGAAGGATCCGATAGAACAATCAAAGAAAGCTCGAGAACTTATCCCTCAGCCGATTGAGCTACCTGACTCGCTTCTTCGGCCACTTCATCAGCCCGCTAGCATAGTTCGTCTTGTCCACCGTCGATGCCGCCGCGAGCTGGTAGGGGGGCCGCTGACGCTGTAGATCTGGGTGTCTGTCAAGCTACAAGGCTGTCCCCCCATTGTACGACCAGGCGAGGCGTGCCTTCACGTCAAGGACAGACTGTCACAGTAGCAGACATCGTCACTGTCATCAATGGATACTCGAGTAGTAGTGCATGTCTCCGTGTCTTCAATGGTGAGCTTGATCGATAAATAATAATAATGATAATAATATCCAATACTTTAATCGTTATGACTTTGTTGTTACCCCACTTAGAGGGAAAATAGAAGACCTTGTAGAAAACCTTCAAAACAGAACAACAACACCATCGACACGCCCTTTGCCAGCTCCAGCTTGGACAGCTTGACAGCTTCTTCTCCAGAGTCACTGCTCACCGTTCTCTCCTACTCAGCTGGACTACTGTGTGTATCCGCCATGGCAGACCACGAAGACGAGTTGGCCACCACCAGAACCGACGGCTTCAAAGTCGGTGAGAAGAAGACCGTTGAGGAGTACCAGAAGCTAGGTCAGTACTCCTCCGGGGGAGCTCGAGACGGCTGTCTTCCTGCTGCTACATCCCCATATACAATGCTGCAAAGCCCGCAGGGGACATGGAAATCACTTATATTCAAGCTACCGCGCCGTATTTACTTTTGTCTATCTTCGAAACCGTTGCTGACCAGCTTGTTCTAGACCAGAACGACGAATCCCTCAACCGATGGAAGGCCTCACTAGGCCTGGGAAGCGGTACTCCCATCTCCAACCCTAACGACCCTCGCACCTGTATCATCAAGTCACTTGCTCTCGAGGTGGCCGGACGAGAAGATATCACCATTGACCTCTCAGAGCCTGGAGCGGTCGACTGTCTCAAGGATAAGCCGTTCACCATCAAGGAAGGCTGCCGATTCCGCATCAAGGCCACGTTCCAGGTGCAGCACGATGTTCTCAGTGGCTTGAAATATGTTCAGGTTGTTAAGAGAAAGGGCATCAGAGTGAGCAAGGACCAGGAGATGCTGGTATGTTTCACATATTCTCGGGATCAAGGCAAAACAAAAAGGGAGCGCTGCGCTGACAATAGTCTCTGTAGGGAAGCTATGCTCCAAACACCACGGATAAGCCAGTATATGAGAAGAAGTGTAAGTGCCTTGTCTGTAGTTGGTTTCCCGCGGTAATCCAGCTAACAACATATACTCGAAAAGTCAACGAGGAGGAGGCTCCCTCTGGTATTCTCTCCCGAGGACGCTATAACGCCGTTTCCAGATTCGTCGATGACGACGATGTCGACCATCTCAAGTTCGAATGGACCTTCGAAATCGCCAAGGACTGGTAGCGGGTTGTTCTGTAATCCTCTAGTTACCAGCAGCACCCGGACTGTGGCCCTGATCTTGGGATATGACACGCTTTTCACCAGGCAAAATCGAGTCTCGTCTTGGCGTTCACACTACTGTTGCCTTATCAATGATTGATCTTTATGCCAACAACAAGAGATTTTTGTTCTCCATCCCAGATAGCGTTAATTTCCTCATTTAAATGATGAAGATGACTACCTCTGTTCCCGCTTCTTCTTTGTGTCTGCCTTTGTACCACTCTGGCTCATAACACTCTGTTGAAGAAAATACCCTCTTAAAAACCTATCAAGACTGAAACTCCTTGGAAGTTCATCTGGCTGGATTGGATGGGTAATCTCTCTTGCTTTTCTTTTTCTTTTTCTTTTTCTTTTTTTTCTGCTCTGCATATTTAATCGAGGATATCATAAGAAATACTCAATCACCGGATTCTGCCCATCTTTCCCCTGCTGGGTCGCCTGGTCTCCACGATGGACATCATTGTTCTCCGGCGCAGCATCAAAGATGTTGAAGAATCGTTCACCAGTATCACTGACTTCTAGCACACTCGCTAAATTTCCACACCGGTAGCAGTAGTTCGGCGCACTCCATACAGTACTCAATCGGTCATCGTATAGCACCTGGTAACCTTCCTGGCACAGCTGGTGTGCGCGCAAGATATGCGACATGCTATTCACTTCCAAAAACTTCTTGACCACCTGTGCTCCAAAAGTGTAACCTGCACCTCGAGGAGATAAAGAAAATTCATCACGTTCGGTGTCCGGGTCTGACCAGACTAGGTCCGCCATGGGGCCCTCATGTGGTATCTCGCGAAACCGGTCGATGATCTTGATCTGGTCAATCGAATGAATGGAAGGAGACAGGCCGCCGTGGACACAGAAGATTTGGTCATTTATAACAACACTCAGAGTAAGAAAATCGAACATGTCAGTGAAATAGTGCCAGACATTGGCGTTACCGTATTTTCGAGCGCATTCGGTGTAGAAACCGTACGACTGCGTCACACCTCGCGATTCATGGTTTCCTCGGATCAAATGGACTCGTTCGGGATATCTGAGCTTTAAACAGATAAGCAAGGAGATTGTCTCCACGCTGAAAAGTCCTCGATCGACATAGTCCCCTGTAACGGTCAGAGAAACACCATCACCCTCTAAACAGACAACTAGTTGAGGCAAATTACGTACCAAGGAAGAGGTAATTTGTATTAGGACAGAATCCTCCGATCTTGAAAATCTCAATCAAATCGTAAAACTGGCCGTGTATGTCGCCGACAACAGTAACTGGAGCAGCAATATGTACGACATTACTCTCTTTCATTAACAGCTCCTTTGCCTTGGAGCATATCGCTTCAATAACCGAATCTGCCAGCAGTTCGCGTTTGTAGATCCGTTCGATGCACTCATCCAAATCAATACTAGCTATATGTAAAGAAAGAATTCCAGTCAGACAACGGATCAAATAACAAAATAACATGTAGCATAAATATATAAACGGCTATGGTTCTGGTTGGCACTCACTTGGAAGGCCCGGCATGACGCCTAGGAAAAAGAGTGCTGATCGGTAGACGAGGGAAGTGAATCCCCAGTCCTATCTGTATCTTTGTGTTCCGGGGAAAAAAAGAAGATGCGCGCACTATGTTGATGGAAGGGAGCGATTGACCTGTATCGGTGTCTGCTGGGCTGGTTGAAGTAACGAGGGACGGTATGGAGAAAAAGGAACTCGCATGGTTTAATACAGGGCGTCTGGCGGCTTATATGCGAGGACCATGCAGGCTAATTTATATCGGACAGCTGATAGCAAGGGAGAGCAGGCCCCAGCAGCGCAAAAGTGTCGACTTCTTCTGCTTGCTGCAAAGTTCTTGCTGCTTCTCACGGCGTCGTTTCTGATATCAACGGATGACTAATCGTATTTGCTTAGCTAATTGCATACTCGGTCTCGGGTCGATCTCGCTGCGGCCCCAAAACAGCTTCCCAGCCCATGTAGATCAGCTCTTGGTTCCAAGAGAGAGTCTACCGCTCTGCCCAACACCAGTTAGAGCTCAAACAAGTCAGTAAATATCCAGGGCCAATTATCCCTGTGCTTCCAGCGCCGGCTCGCTGGCTATATTAAGATCTAATAAGGCGTTACACGTGACCCCCCTTTTTGGTTCGGCGCGGAATAACGAAAAGCCGACGCCATAAATTTCCCTTGAGGTCGCGAACTTTTGCAACTTCCAACTTCAACCTCAACTTCCGTCTTTCTTGCGCGCGCATAAGGACACACAGAGCGAGACAGGGCCGGCTTCTTTCTTCTTTCTTCTTCTTTTTGGATACTCTTTGCCTTCTCTCATTTTTGATTATTACAACCACCAACAACCATTGTTGCTCGATCGAAGGTCTGAATACGCCTGGGATGCCAGAGCATTACCTCACTTTGATCTGATTCGGGAGCACTGCCTGAAACTGGTAACAGAAACCTCCAGTGACTGCAGCCGCCCTCCATAAACGAACAATCAATGTGAATCCGTGCTGGATGAGCCCACTGGGATACCCTTGACTGTAGTACTCGCAGAATATCACTATACCTCAGATATCAGCTGTTTTTAAGCTCAGTGGCAATGCTCCATCTCGCAGAAGGTTATATCAACGTCACCATTCCCAAAGCTTGATACCGGACCAAGCACAAACATTCTGGTGACTTCCTCATTCTTCTTCTCATAATCTCCATTTTCTCCCTCTTTTCATGCTCAACTTCTAGCAACAACACGAGATGGTCCCCCAGCAGATGGGCTCCCCCGACGAGGGGCTTCGGCGACGGCGTTCAGCACCTGGTTTTGGTAGCAAAGCGCAACGCGGGAGTAGAGGTAGCTATGGCTATCGATCGAAGAAAGGTGGTCCGGGTCATGGGTCGTTCCACCCAATGAACGCTCCATTCCCCCAGGACCAGCCACCACCTTCATGCTATACCTGTGGATCTTACGACCACATGGTGCAACATTGCCCCGAATATCAACATGAAACATCACCGTGAGTTAGCAGCTATCATCCCAAACTTGTGATTACATATTTTGGCTAATTTGATGTCTACAGTGGCTTTCATAAACATCCACGTCCAGCAAAACGGCAAAGAACAGCAGAGGGTTCTCGACATCAATATCGAGACGAGTTTCCCCCTAGTCAAAGAGGACCACCTCATCGTTCATTCTCTCACGGGTCGCATTCATACAACTACTATGACTATCCAGGACCTGCCTCCCCTGAACAAGAGGAGTGGCACCACAGACCGCCGTATGGATACCCACCATATGAACCCCACGGTCCTCCACCGATGGCTGGATATGATTATGATTCCCATGGCCCTATGCCACCCTACCACTATAATGATGCTCCTCCCCCAGGTTATCATTCCCGCCGCCCTCCTCGACGTCGAGAGAGCGATTATCCTGAATACCCCATGGAAGGACCACCACCTTCATGGGATGCACCACCACGTGGCAGCCATTCATGGCGAGGGAAGGGTCGTAAAGGCAGAGATGGACATACGTTCTCACGTAGGCCAGACAGTCACGTGGAGGGATTTTACGACTTGGACACCACTGACAGTGCACAGAATTGTATGTTTTATTCCCCTCCTTTTCATCCATCACACCTATCTAATTACACTTTTACAATTTGCAGCCTGGAGATCGCCCCACGCAGTTGGCCGGCCACTTCCATCAGTGTTCAGTGATCTTGATGATATCTGCAAACTGCCTCCACATACTTCTTTGCCCCCAGGAATGTCTGTTTCAAAATACTTCCTGAATAAGGGAGCTGATGAATTTAACGAAAATATCCGAAACACAGAGGACTGGCCCTTTATGATGGGAGATCCTATCTTCTCCGAGTTCCCCTCAGACGGAGAGACAGTTCCTGTCAAAGACCTTATCCACCGCCAGAAAGATATGATGGCGGCCCATAAATATATTCCTCCCAAGCCTGTCGTCGAAGAAACAACTTATGATAGCGAGCAGGCTGATGAACCGGAGATACCAGATGATGCAAGTTATGCCGGTTCCGAAGAACAAGGACAGGCCAATGGAACCCAATCACCAGAAGAAAATGGTAGCTATACCGGCTCCGAACAAGGTCGGGGCCATGACCGTGAATATAAACGTCATCATAGCCAGGCATGGAACACGGAGGACAATACCAACACCCCAATGTCCACTACGCCTGGAAACAACGATAGTGATGAACGTCCACAGACTCCACAAAGATACTCCAAACCCCAAAGTTTCCATGGGTCATACCACAGAAAGCGCGCAAGAGAAGAGTCCTTGGAACTACCTGACGACGAAATTCAGCGTCAAGTAGATGATGTTGCTCCAAGACTCGAGCGTCGTCATCCACGTGTCGCGGAAGCTTATAGGTACGACATTGATATACCCTAAAGACTGTCATTCAAAGTAATCCTTACTGATTATATCTTAGTCGGCGCTGGTAAGCCGCTTATCCGCTTACCGATCCGTGTTTCCTGCTTGTTATTATTATTATTATTCTTAACCACCTTCGAATTTCTTTATCAATAACCCATACCCACAGTCTCTCCCAATTCGGGTCTTTCAAAATTCCCAAGGCCTATGGCCTCTGGCACGCACATGATATCAATCACTTAAACCCAGGGAAGACCAGATCGGTATCTTATAGCCTATTCGGATTTAATCTCACTTATTTCACTACGTGTGGCTCGTTAATTATTCCCCCCGGGAGTCTTAATTACCAGTAATTTCTCTCTCCCAGCAGAGAAAATCCAGCCTTCAGAGGCTGCAGGAGAGCTTAATTTTTACCTGCTTCTCTTTTACTTGCTCAGGTTGGTAAATCCCGTCAGTCAACTCTGACATGGGTTTACGCATCCTTGGATATTACGCTCTATGCGATAATCAATAATTTCATTGCTCTATCATCTTTCTCTCAATTTATATCTGATTATATATATTCCAGCCGTCCTCATATCATACCTACCTGCCATCATCCCTCGTTCTTCCACAGATGGACAGAATACCTGAATACCTATCTACTTAAGTGTTGGTGGAACAGAACAAAGTGACCATGCCTCGCCAGTCTTGAACAGGACCATACGAAGTAGATATCCGGGTAAGAGGCGCAAAAATCACGTAAATACTGCTCTAATAGTTATGGCTATAAGAGTTATATACTACTGCTGCTCTACCCATCAATGATCGTCTCAGCCAGAGGGTTCGGCTTCCTTGGAGAAGCTCAGAAGTCGCTCTTTAACTTCTATGATATGGATCGAGTGCAGGAAGTAGAATCGAGACCACGAATACACACGTATACGTCCAAGGTCTGTGTAACTCCTCAGCGAACCGGATAATCCAAAACAATCATGCGCCGATGCATGCTTGTGTCTTTAATTGGCTGCCCTTTCAAGGCTGCCAATCACGCCTTGGTAGAAAAGGGGCTACCTATAATAGGGGTTGATCTCAGCCAGTTTATGCCTAGATATTCAATCACGCTCGTTCACTAATATTAATATTACGATAAATCTTTTCAGATTTTTGATCCTCATGGAATAGATGCTATTGACAGTAATATCCCTCTATAATGCCCGGTAAATGCTTTATTCCAATAATTTTGCGGATTCAGCTCCTGACTGAGCATGCTGCTGATCTGGCTCTTCCTCTCCTTCCTCCTCTCCAGACTCTTCAGTCTCATATTCAGTTTCTTCTTCTTCCTCTTCTTCATCTTCTTCGTCTGTCTCCTCCTCAGTCTCGTCTTCGTCGACTTCTTCATATTCTTCCTCTTCTTCCTCTTCCTCTGCCAGCCAATCATCAAGTGACATGTTCTTGGGAACATTGCCTATTCTACCATTGACATTCCCCTTTCCAGATACAACGTTATGTTCCTGGAGAGCTTTATCCAGCCTCTCTCCAGCCGTAGTGTTGGTCTTCTCGCCGTATGCGCCGGATTTGCCGGAGTCATCGTCTCGAAGCTTCGGATCCGGTTCATGGCCAGCTTCCACCCAGTCGGGAAGGTCCTCGTAGCCCCTTAGACCATACATGCCTGCGTCAGGACCTATCACTAGAGTTGACGAGCCGATGAGGAGATTTTTCCTAGTCTCCGAGGGTGTGGAGGTATGAGGGATCGGCTTGGGTGCTAGAAGCAAAAGACTGGCGAGCTGGGTCGAGCTGGGCACAGCAAGAAGAGACTTGTATAGACGAGCTCGATCACGGAGATCATATGAAGTGTCATACCGGGCTAGTAAGAGAATGTACCTCCATAGAGTGGTGATAGAGTCCTCTTCCTTTGGCGACGAAACTTGGTCATTTGCATCAAACGTGCGATTATCGTCCTGGCCATTGTCCGATGAACTTTTGGGATCATTTGAGGGTGTAGGCGAGTTAAGTAGATGATGCAGGTACACCTTCGCTCCTAATAACAAAATCTGCTGTTTGGCTGTTTCTGACTCGTCTGAAAAGCCCTTTGCTAGCAGACGTAATACGTCCGGCGCAATGTTGTTATGAGGATCGATCCCAGCAAACTCCCCAACTAGCCATATAATACTTGCTCTGGCACCAGGACTGCTCGTGGTCCCCAGGTGGTTACCAAGCATGACGACGGTACCTTTATGGGCTGCAGTATCTTGCTGGATAAGATGCCTGATAACCGTTACAGCCTCTGAAACTAGGACATCGTCGGCACTAGAGATCTGGCGGAGGAGAAGCTGAAGGCAGCGCGTAGATGAGCCAGTGTGGGCTTCGGCACATCTTCCAATCGCACGAACGCTCTCACGGACTAGATCATGGTCAGATCCGTTGGAGAAGTGTTCCAGCTCACTGAGAATGACACTCTTGAAGTGATTCCCGCAGTGAGGGAATAACATGGTCAGTATTTCCAGCTTTAAACGCCAGATATGAGGCAAATCAGTAGATCTAACAAGGAAATGCGATGCATATTTCACAAATGGCTTTGGTGATATGAGGGCAACGGAGATGATATTATATAGAGCAACATGCTGCAGGTCTTGCGGGCTGCGGAGCAAGGCAATCAATGAGCCAGTGGCTGACTCCAAGTGCTCTACCGTTCCCAGGTACCGGAAGCAACGAACAACTGCCACGATTACAGCTGAATTCCGGCTCTGGAGTAACGGCTTGCAAGCTTTCAGCAGCAACTCGAGGTCCGGATCAACGATATCAACTTCTTCTTCGCCCAGGTCGTTTTCTTGGGTTTCTTCTTCGTTCTCGTCTTCATAGAATCCTTTGGGATTTGACTTTTTCACCTTCTGTGTCCTTCTAGGGAAGCATTTCCTGGCGTAAAATACCATAAGCCTGAGAGTGACCAGTTGACTCCACTCATCCATGTCGACCAGCTTCTTTACCAGGCTCCGGTAGTGCTTGTGAATAAGTTCGATCTTCTCCGGACATATTTCCAGAAATGCAGCAACGGCCGGCCCAACAACGAAGTACTGGTTATCTCCGAGAAGAATGGAAAGGTAGTCGATGAGCTGTGGCAGGGTCCCTGGATCAAGCCGGTAGCATTTCGGGATAGCCAGGGCAGCAGCTTTGCGGACATGAGGGCTCATGTCGCCGCATCCTCGTTTTATAGCCAGGGAAACAATCTGGCTGATAACCGGCACTTTCATTCCTGACATTGTCCGCAATGCCAGTGAGCGAACCTGCGGGTTCTGGTCCGTCAGAGACTTTTGAATAGCGTTGATAGATAACAGGGCGAGGTCCGGTTCCGCCTCTGCATGGTGCAATAGGTATATGTACACCAGCTTCTTGACTTCAATGTTCGGATTCGCAACGTTCTTGACGACGGCGGAGAAGAAAGGTAGACATGGCTCGGCCCTGTACATCAACTAGAAAGAGAGAGAAAGAGCTTCCTTCAATATTCAAACACGATGTAGCAGTGAGAAGGCCAGTATCCAGCGTACCGAAATAACCTTGCGCAGGCCGTCCAAGATATCTCTATCATTCCTGCTATCCAGCAGCTTCTTGATCTGCGACACCGAGGCGGTGCGGGAGGCAGACGAGGACGGTCTCAAGCTCCTGACCGAACTGGCGGACTGGGCAGCCTCAAGGGTAAGCTCACGAGCTGTAAGGAAGGCCATCAGTCAGTTATATGGATAGTTGTAGGGAGATGTTTTCTCTCGTCAGTCGGCGGAGCTGGCGGGATTACCTGTTTCCAGCATCGACGAGATCCGCGATATGGTCTCCATGACAGGGAGGCTCAACAGCTAATCATATGAAAAGAACAGCTTTACTAATAGCCCCCGGCTTTTGACTCCAGGGCGTCGAACGATCGGCTTGAAGCCCTTGAAAGCGCCGGTGGAGGATGAGGTAGGTCGTGTTTTGTGTGACTTTTCGTTGGTCGATGGATTTTTTGCCCGCGAACAAACATTCAAACTCCATCCACATGACATACGGCGAAAAGCAATCAATACCTTCAGCAAGAACAACGTCTGCACCCGCGGCTGACGATGAAGAAGAACTGAGGAAAAGCCTTAGATGAAGGGCAGATACCCCCCGGAAGGCCTCTGTTGTGCGCAGGCCGGCGCGAGAGCAGAATGAGCATCGCAACGTTCGACTCCGTGGTGGAATTTACACAACATCTTCTACAAAGCAATGCATCGACGGTTACTTTGATAGTGTGCTCGACGCGAGAGGCCTTTATCGAGGAGCTGTACGCGGATATACAGGCTCCGTCTATAGTTGTACCACGAGAGCAGTCCAGTTCACCTGCTGAAGAGGTCCAGGAGGAAAGCGAGCATGCAGAGAACTACCGTAGAGAAAAGGACGAAGAAGAGCATGAAGAGAAGAAAGAAGACGATAATCACGAAGAAGAACATGAAGAAGAACGTGAGAACAACCACTGGATGCTCTCGAACACGCTCGAGTTACTGTCTCGCTCCGAGAGAATACGGGTTGTGTTTTGTCCGGCCATCGAGCATCTCCGAGCCTATCTAGGCGGCTCTTTCAGGAGGCGTCGGCCACAAGATGGACAGGAAGGGAATAAGCTGTATCAAGGCGATGCTATGCTTGCAATAGTCAACCTGGTCTTCCTGCATTCTTCTACAGTCGAGTTCTCTGCGCAGGGGCTGTCGAGGACGGCTGCCCTGGCCGTGGAGGCTGCTGCGAGAGAACAAGTCAGGCTGGTTCTATGTGAATGCGAATCCGCGCTGGATGGAGGAGGCTATGGCTCTGGAATATGGGACGTACAAGTTCCGCTGTTGAACTCGATTACTGTAGAAGAAGGGCAGCCTGGCGGTAGGACCATACAGGTGAAGCAGGTCATGAAGAAGTGGTTTCGGTTTTGATTGAAATAGACTGGTAGAAGATAGAGATCACTGTCATCAATTGTCATATCATTCATACCTTCAAGTAAAAAAAAAAACTCCGGCGATGCTATGGGTATCTTAAATCAAACATTAACTGTACAAAAAGCAAGTCGATCCCTGACGTCCATCCGCTGCGGACGTAAGAGGACGCTGCAGACACTTTAGAGACACTTTTCTATCTCTGTCGTGTAGAGCTTGATATGAGACTCCATCTTCAGGTACTCATCGTGCGCTCGATGAATTTCATCTTCGATCGTCTCCTTCAAGTCCGCCATCTACCAAGTTTTGTTAGTCAAATGGCCACCATGCAGGGGGGGGATAATTGATAGCAGATAACAGTATATATTTATAGAACAGCCGATAGAGGTAAAATATAAATATAGAAATAGAGCAAGAAAAGTGACGTACCTTCTTCTCGGTCTGTTCGATGCGGATGCGCCTACGCTCCATCTCGCGCTGCTTCTCAGCCCGCTCTTCGCGCAGCTGCTTCTGCACCGAGTGCAGCTCTTCCATGCGAGCCTGGGCCTGCTCGGCCTTCTCCCTGCTGCTCTTGCGCAGGGCCTCTATGCGTTCCTGCCAGCGGGCCAGCTGCGACTGGAGCAGCTTCTCGGTGTGCGCGACCTCTCTGACGGTATTGCCTCGCTCGGCGAGGGCCTCTCTGTTCTTGATGCCCTTGGACTCCTGGTCGTCCTCTTTTTGTAACTCTACCAAAATATCTTCTAGCAGCTTGATGGAGCTCTGGACTTCATTATTGACAACGGTAAAGGTGTTCATCGATGTCTGCAGGGCACGCATTCTCCTCTCCATGCCGTCTACTTGGGATTTATCATGAGCGAGATTGTCGGACAGTTCCGTGAGGGCTGATTGTAGGCTTTCGGGGCTCTGGGAGACATAGGGGCGTAGCTTCTCGCACTCCTGGCGACTCTTCAACAGCTTCTCTGTCTTTTCCTCTAGCAGTGTCTGCTTCCTTGCCTTTTCCCCTTTAACCCTTTCAAACGTCTCTGCCACCCGTTCCTGATCCCGCCTCAGCTCCAGCAGCCGGGTCTTCAGCTCGTCGTTCCGGCTCGTCTTTTCCCGCACCACCCCGTCCATTTCCTTCTGCTGTCTCTTCATCTCCTCCAGCCGCTGCTCCAGCTCTTGGTTCTCGGCGTAGAGTGTCTCGATGCGCATCTTGGTGTCCTCTGACTTGTTGAAGTGAGCGTCAATTGCCGAGGTCTGTGACTCTCGGAAGCGGACGAAGTTGATCAGGTAGGAGAATATCTTTGCGATGCGGTCGTAGGTCGGCCTGGTGATGTCTGTAAACGTGAAGTCATGGACTCCACACTGCATACTGTTAGCTCTCTCTCTCTCTCTCTCTCTCTCTTCTCTGTATATACAAGTATCATAAGCAAAGTCTACGAACCTGGAGCATCAGCTTGCGCAAGGAGACGAGAAAGCCCATCAGATTGCGCGTATCCGGGGGAAAGATGTCCGCCTGGTCCCCGGCAATGTCTTCTGCAGCAGCGAGCATGGCGGGCTCCACGGTCTCCCGCGTGGTGTTCATAAACAGCTCTGCGAACCACTCGAAGACCATCTGGACCTGCTGCGGGTTGGGCTTGAGGAGGTCCGCCATGGTGAAGGGAATGCCGATATCGTTAATGCATCCCGCAATGACCTTGTCTGGCTATACATCTGTGAGCAATTGCCATCCACAACCGGCATTGGGACACTCACAAGGCGCAAGAAGGCGTCTGTCTCGCTCTCCTTCTTCTGCTGGCGGTGCTGCTGCTGCCCGCCGCGGTACTGCGTCGTCCGCGAGTTGTACGCCATAGCTGTCTCTGCGTGTATATATATAGCCTCCCGTCTCTTCCAGTCCAACTCCGCGTCTCTTCTCGACTTCTTCTTCGTCTTCTTCGTCTTTTCGTGAACGATATAAAAATGTCCAAAACTCCTTTCGAGCCGCATTTTTTGTTTACATGATAAGCAACTTGCCCGAAGCGGACTAGCGGCTGCAAACTGGCCAAACATGCTCTTTTGGGTAATTCAGACCGAAAGAGTCATCGAAAGTCGAAAAAGTCGAAGGAAGACAAGAAGAAGAAGAAGAAGAAGAAGAAAAGAACAAACAACGAGACGTGCAGGAAGATAGCAAGAAGATAGGAAGAAGATAGAAGGATAGCAGGACGGTTTGACTCCGGCGACTGCGAGAGAGACCGCGAGGGATACCCGATAGCAAACGACCGGCTGCAAACAACACCGACTGCGGCCAGAGCTGCCCCGCGGTTTGCTTGACAGCTACAGGACTGAATATAATAACTACCAGGAACCAGCGACCAGCAGCCAGAGGAAGACTGAGATACACTAGAGTGGCTGCTTCACTACGCGTCAAGATGTCACCGGCCCTGGAGACCCCTTCAAGCGGGGGCAAGGAGCCCTTTGAGTGAGTAGAGGACTGTCACTATATATATATAGATATCTATGAGTTGTGACGAGTATTTGTACTGACAGAAGACAGCATTGTAGAGACATATCACAAGCTACTACAAACAGACCCTGACCTGACAATGCCCATAGCCGCCATCGAGGCCCTGGTACTGCTACTGACACACTCACCATCTTCGACCATCTCCGAGACGCTCGACCTACTCAACAAACACACCGAGCACCTGAAGCGCTCGATCCCCAACCCGATCGGCCTCTCTGCAGGCACCGACCTGTTCCAGCGGTACCTGATATCGACGCTGCAGCGACCCGGCAAGCTGGGACCGGCGGGGGACTTTGACGCGATACGCGCGCACCTGCTCTCGAACGGGCGGCTGTTCATCCAGCGAGCCAAGGAGAGCAGAGACAAGATCGCCGCGTTCGCAACGGGTTTCGTACGAGACGGCAGCACGGTGATGACCAATGGCGGGTCGCGGGCTGTGGGAGCGATGCTGCGCAAGGCGGCGGGCGAAGAGGTGCGGTTCCGGGTGATATATGTGCTGCCGAACGGACATAGCCATGAAGAAGCCACGACTGCAGCGGGGACGGTGCCCGAGGGGATGGAGACGGTGGCAGTGCTGCGGTCGAAGGGAGTGCCTGTGGCCATGGTGCCGGAGTCAGCCGTGGCGTACTCGATGGGGATGGTGGACACGGTGATAGTGGGCGCGGAGGGTGTTGTTGAGAACGGCGGGATAATATCGCGGATGGGCACGTACCAGATGGGCCTGCTGGCGAAGGCAATGGGCAAGCCCTTCTATGTCGTGGCGGAGAGCCACAAGTTTGTGAGACTGTTCCCGCTTGGCCAGTACGATCTTCCCGTTGATCAGCGGGTTATCGAGTTCAAGACGAGCACTACTACCGAGAGTAACAGCAGCAGCAGCAGCTCTACCTCGCTGAAGGACCGCCGGACTGCGCCTGATATCGTGGACTACACTCCACCACACCTGATCACGGCGCTGATCACGGAGGCAGGCGTGCTCACTCCGAGTGCCGTCAGTGAGGAACTCATCAAGATCTGGTTTTGAGCGCTGACTCCGACCAGCTGTATTATCTAGCCATCAACATGATTGATATTATTTATACGACTGTGACGAGATCGATATCAACCATGGCGCCGGGATCAACAGATCAGCGCCGGGAACCTGACAGGCTGCACTCTGTGAACTATCGCGTTACACCGGGAGAAACGTGGAACGGAAGAAGGGAAGACGGGAAGAAGAAGAAGAAGAAGAAGAAGAAGCAAGAGAAGAAGACGACGCAGGGACGAGGGAAGAGCCGAGCTGTATCGTGACACCGAGCAGTGGAATCAATAAATCAATAATTCGGCCCTCTTCTTTTCCCAGGCACGGCCAGGCCAGGACCGAATCTATCTACAATCTGTATCTTTAGCTGCTCTTTAGCTATGAGAATGACTTCATCGGCTGCCCATGATCTACCGCTAAAAGGCCCCAGCAACTAGCAAAGCCGAGCTAGCAGGGACAGGGGGAGCTCCAGCAAGCCGGCAAGCCAGCAAGCCAGGCCGCCGATAACCAAGTAATCGCAGTAACAACTGAGGAAAAGCAAGCAACAAGCAAGCAGAAAGCAAGAAACGAGAAGGAGACTGAGGAGAAGAGGCAAGATGAATGACCCTCGAACAGGCCAGCCGTTCCCGCCCTCGACCATCCAGCGTGTCCTGTACAGCTGCGGCGCCGTCCACGTCTACGCCCTGCCGCCGCTGACCTCGATGAAGGGCTACCTGGCCGCCAGCTGGACCAGCAACAGCGACTCCGAGATCTTCGCCGGCCGTCTTCGAGTGCTCGAGAGCGCCGTCCCAGTGAAAGTACCGGCATCGAGACCAACCACGGCTCTTCGAACCCCCAACCGGCCCCTTGCCCTGCCCGAGGAGGAACCAGACCTACAACCAGAAGAAGCAGACGCAGAAGCAGAAGCAGAAGAAGAACGACTGCAGGTCGACATCCTGCTGGAAGAAGCCGGGGGAACCCACGAGCTGTTCGCTGCAGCGCCGTACGTGGATGCGGGCGTGGTCGAGCAGACGCTGGACTCGAGTCGCTTCTTTGCGCTGCGGGTGGAAGGCGAGGGCAAGAAGGCGGTGCTGGGACTGGGCTTCGAGGAGAGAAGCGAGGCCTTTGACTTCTCCGTCGCCCTGCAGGAGGCGAGGAAGATTCTCTCGATGTCTTCTACGTCTATGGCGTCTGGTGGTGATGCCGGGAAGGACCTGAGTCTGCGGCCGGGAGACAGCATCTCAGTCCCAGTCTCAGCACGAAGAGAGCCAAAGACAGCAGAAGAAGACAGAGAAGACAGAGAAGAAGAAGAGAAGCAGGAGAAGAAGGCCCTTTTCTCGCTTCCTCCGCCGCCGCCGCCGCCAGCTTCGTCTTCGTCTTCGTCTTCTTCCTCCCGTCGACGGCCTCCTGCGTCCTCGACTTCTCCTGCAATATAGATGTAACAGACAGCGAGATGCCAGTCTTGTAGCCTTATATCAGCTGCAGCAGATCTTCCTTATCCTTATAGTTGTATCTTAATCCTTCTATTAATCCTTCTAATATACCTAGGTAATCCATCTTCTCCAGAGTCTTCTCCGTGATGAAACAGCTGGCAGGCCTGCAGCTCCCAGACAGCCAGCGTTTAAGGCATCACAACAACCGCCATCCCCAAGCATCTTCCTAGGTATCTTTTTATATCAATATTATCTTCATCTCTTCATCTTCCTCTACTTCTACTTCATCTTCTTCCTCTTCCGGCCTTATGTTCTTCCGCAGCTTCACCAAAAGCAAAGAAAAAGCCAGGAACACAAAAAAAAAAAACCGCCTTCTTTTCTTCTTCCTTCAGCTTCACAACTTCTTCTTCTTCTTCCTCCTCTCCTGCTGCTGCTCAGCCAGACAGGACAGTCTCAGTCTCAGTCTCAGTCTCTCTCTTCCTCTCCTCCTCCCTCCTTTTCATCTCCTCCCGTCTTGTCTCTCCCCTGAGATGTCTCTCGTCGCTCGCTTCTGACCCGTCCCTGTCTCTCTGTCCAGCCAGCTCCAGCCTACCACGTCACTGATCAACCGCCCCCGAGAAGCCTCCCTCTCCCGGCCTGACGCCTGAAGACGCCTGACCTTGAGCCTGACGCCGAGTCGGCCGGGGCGTCACGGCCTCGTTCAGGCTCCCTGCCTCTTCTTCTCCCTCTCCAGCTGTCCCGTCCTGCCATTGAGAAGTCCTGGACTCTCCGTCGCGCCATGGCTCTCTGGCCCTTTGGCCGTCACAAGAAGCGGGCTCGCAAGGGCGACGACGAGGCCACCACCACGGCCACTGATAATACTACCGCTGCTACGACAGACCAGCGGCCTCAGACGCCTCCAGCTCAGACAGAGACGGCCACGAAGGCGGCCACGACTGGCGAGCACCATGGACACGGCGGCCTCTCTGCTGGCAAGCTTGTCCGGCGAGACAGCAAGCGTCAGAAGTACAGCGCCCTCCCTCCGGCAGCCGCAGCAGCCGCAGCAACGACGGCGACGACAACGACATCCTCCCCCGCGACCCCGGCGACTGCTGCCACTGCCGACTCCCCCATGACGCTGCCCGCCGGTCGAGCTCTGCGGCAACCCACTTCTGTCGACACTTTTGCCTCCGTCAGTGCTCTCGTCCCGTCCAAGCTCCGCCAGGCTGAGCAACCGCACATCCAAAACGCTGCCATGCCGTCCCACCCGTCTCAGGTCCAGGGTGAAGGCTCCTCCTCTGCCTACCCTGTCCCGACGCTCCACCATGGCAAGAGATATCTCTCCGAGCCCACCTCTATCCTCCGCCGTCGTTCGGAGAGACGCAGACGCATCGATCCCGAGCGCGAGCTGGAGATCAAGCGCATGGGCAGTCTTGTCTGGGAACACCCCAAGCGCAGCAGTGCTGCCACAACCACAACCACAACCAACAGCAACAACCACAACAACAACACCTCCAACAAGGATAAGCATCTCTCTGACCCATTCACCTCGTCTTCCACTGCTGCCAATGCTGCTGCTTCTTCCACCACCTTCGACCACCAGGCTGAGCCTCCGTCACACACCTTCAAGCTCAGTGCTCTCAATGCCCTGTCTCCCCGGCCATTCCTTCGCTATGCCTCCTCAGATGGGAACCGCAGCTCTCTCCCCGCCACTGCTGACATCTCGCGGTCTTCTACCACCAGAGACAAGGCCAAACCACGATGGTTCTCTGCCGACCAGGCCGCTGCTACTGCCGGCAGTAGTAAGAAGATTAACGAGCTGGCTGACACCATGGATGCCGGAGCCCTGCGCCAGCTCATGGACCGTGACAGACGACGCAGACTGGTCAAGCGTCAGATTCTCAGAGTACAGCAGCAGCAGCAGCAGCAACAGCAGGCCTCTGCGGCTGCTCGTCAGGCAGACAAACCCGTTGAACAGAAGGATCAAGTGCCGCAGCCAGAAGAACCACAGTCAGAGGTAGACACCCAGACCCAGTTACAGACACAGCCGCTTGAGAAAATAGTCAGCGCAGGAACTGCTAGCATTCCTTCTTCGTCTCCAGACCCGATGGACGTTTCCAAGCCTCAATCCCAGCAACAATCTCTCGAACCAGTCCAGTCGTGGCTCCAAGACGCCTCAAAGGAAAGCTTGGTCAAGGAAGACCGCGTTCAGACCGCCCAACGAAAGATAGAAGAAGAAACAGATGCGGGAGAACATCAAGGCCCAGCTGCCCCATTAGCTACCGTCCTCTCTCGCAATGGACAGCCCCTTGAACTCGCTCTCCCGGCCGATGAGCGCAGAGATGAGATTCCAGACATCCGCCAGCACCCTGCATTCCGCCAGCCTTCCGTCTCCGAGACGTCTGCCTCTGCTTCTGCATCCGTCTCTGCATCAGCCTCGACCAAACCAAGCAACATGCTCAACGAGACCAAACTAGGCCGGACCTGGACCCAGCTCTTCCGTCGTAGAGGCACCCTTCGTCGCAAACCCAACCGCAACATCCTGCCCAAGAACAGCTCCTCCGAGTTCTCTGTCACGTCTCGCACCCATCAGTACGTCAATCCCGGTGCTATTCCTGGAGCCGGTGCTGCCAGTTCACCTCCCATTGCCATTGCAGCGACTGCTTCCTCCCACCGCGCAGGAACTGATACCCAGTCCATCACATCCAAGTTCACCGAGCACCTCGACGATGGCTCTGCTTCGGGCTCTGCAATCCAGCTGTCGGCATCTGCACCAGGGGGACCACGCATGTACTCTCCTGAGCCACTGTACAATCTCCACCGCGAAGACTCGTACTCCGTCTCCGTCGCGCCCTCGCAGCGCATGAGCGGCGCCGAAAAGTACAGCATCAGTGGCATCTCGGCTGGTGGGGCTGGTGCTGGAACTGGCGCCGGAGCCTACATGTCCGGCCCAGATACCCGACCCAACAGCACCTTTCTAGCGCAGTCTCTGGCTTCCATCGACTCGGAGGGCAGCTGGCTCTCTGGCCGCCCATCCCGGCGTCTCTCCCAAGCACCTCTCAAGAGCCCCGGTTCAACTCGTGAACGACTGAACGACGATGTCAGCCCCATTATTGACCCGGATCTGGAAGACGACAACGCCATAAGCAGCGACGAGTACTTTGGCGCTCTCCCCGTGCCCAAAGAAGAGGAGGAAGAAGACACGGTTCCAAAACACGGGCTCAACATCACCACCTCGAATGACTCTGCCATCATCAACCCTGCCGTCAACGGCTACAACGACGAACCCGATGCTGCTGAAATTAACCCCCTTCCCGAAGATGCTGATGATGGCATGGCTCTGGCCAATGCCGACGGTGACCCACCAACCTGGCACTCCAGCGTCGGTAAACAGCCCCGTCTGATCAACCCCGAGACCCGCGCAAAGTCCCGCGAAGGCCTGTTCACCGAATTCATCGATAGCGAGAACGAAGTCAGCCCCATCGACGAGCCAGAGGGCTTAACTGAGATCCGTCGAGCCCAGAGCGTCGATCTAGGCCGTCATATCCGCCACATCAGTGCCGGCAGCGCAAAGCTCGTCACCTTGTCCCGCGCCGAGTCGAGCGGCAAACGACACAGCAACGTCTCTCTGAGCAGCTCCGGCGTCTTTCCCACCAGGGCCGACGACGACATTTAACTCTTTCATTTGAACCACGCTTCGAACCTCACTTGACTTGATCTTCTTTCCTTTCCCCTTTTTGCCTCTTTCATATGTCACACATGCATGCATCATTCCCATTTATCTCACATTTCCTTTCTCGTCCAGCCCATTTATTACTCGCAAGCGTGTTTTCTCATACCCCGGTTGTTCAAAAATACACCATGTATCTCTTAATCTTCTTTTTTTTCTCTTCCCAACTTTCCTTCTTCTTTTCTCTGGATCGGAATGGACTGGCTGGCTGGCGGACTGGACGGACAGACGGAATGGTTTCCCAAAGACGGTCGAGGTCACGTTAAAAAGAAATGCCCTTTTAATCTCTGCTTTTTTGTTTTCCTCTTCTTCTTCCTCTCTTTTTTTTTCTTATATCTTTTTTTCACGACTGCATAACATACCCCCCGAAGTTTTATTCCTTTCATTTCAACTTATTCTGCTTAAATCGGTCTGGTCGGTCGGCTCTTTTTTCATCTTCTTTTCCTTTGTCATCATCCACAGCCTCGATATGGCGTCTTGTCTTTCTCCCCTTGCCGTTGCCCCTGCCCTTCCCACCCCAAGTCTCCCTTTTTTTTCTTTCTTGCCCGTTTTCTTTTGTTCGGCTCGGTTTCTTGCTTTCTTTCTTCTATCCCCTTTGATATCCCCTGTGCTAGCTAGTTAGCCTTTGTCCCTTTTGTTTTATCTCACTGGAAAGAAAGGAATTTTTTCTTCATACTTATACCCTTGACCCTGTTCCAGTTCTTATTATCTCTCTTACCACCCATATCCTGCTATCCTCCCCCACCTCTCCTTATTCCTGACACTTCTCTGCCTGCCTGCCTGCCCGCCTGTCTCTCGTTTTTTCTCCTAGCAGGCAGGCAGGCAGGCAGATATAATGGGGAGAGGCAGGGGAGGACCTGCCCCCAATAGATATCACAATATAAGATACTTTAATAGTTCTTAACTTGTTCAGCTCTTTGAATATCCAAAAAGGTGCTGAAGAATACAAAGAAGAAGAAGAGAAGAAAAGAACAAATCTCTCTTTTATAAGACTGGTCTGAGTGAAAGTCGCGACGGCTTGGCATCCTATGACGACCTCTACTATGACAACCCTTG